CCCTGAACCCTATACCCTAAACCCGAAACCCTAAACCTGCAGGTGTCATTGCCAGGGGCGCTCCGGCCGGACCAGGGATTCCTGCCGCTGTCGTCACAACTTCGGCGGCAGCACCTCATTTTGGGATCCTTATAATAGGGATCCTACTATTTTAGGGTACTATATTAGGGTCCCCTATTTTCGGAAATCCCGATGTAGGCCCCCGTGAAGTCCACAGTTCCCTGGCCCAGATCGGGCACAGCGAATGCGTAGTTTAGGGTTTAGGGTTTAGGGTTTAGGCCTCTCCTGCGCATTCCCTGTCCACTTGTTCAGCCTGTAGCCGAGGCCTGGGCTACGTACATTCTGAGGTAGTGGTTCGACGAGCCAATCGCTTCGTTGTTCGTTTTACAAGACAATAACAGAACACTATAATCAACCGTTTATCTTCTATCATAGCCAAGGACAAGCCTGAGCAAATTGGGCCAAATGTGCAGCTTGGCAATAGTTGGTAACTACAGTCAGGAAGGCTATTCTCATAAGTGCGCTAAAAGTTGCAGCTGCACAGCTCGATGTACCAGCTACCTGCGAGGCCTCATTATGCTTCAAATAAACGCGAAGTACAGCCCCCCGCAATGGCCCACAAAGGTCGTGGCCAATGCTTTTGCATTCTTGTCGAAATACTTCGGGAAGTACACCTGAGACAGAGGATGATGTAGGGGCCTGGATCGTCGGAATAGGGCTTTGGGCTCCTTTTTGGTATAACTGCAATAATAAGGAACCCGGAGGAGTACTACTCGTAACTATTGAGGCTTCTAGAGTAAGCTCTAAACCCCAAAGAATTAGGATAATTAGGCTTAGGGCATGCTTGTTGTTTTGTTTTAGGGCCCTCGGCTTTTTTAAAGGAAACTACAGGTGGGGAGTTTAGGGTAAAGGCTTCCACAACGTGTATAGACCTTCTATAAGGCTCGTTTATAACCGGACCTACCCGTGTGAAAATGTCCTAGACTCCCCTTAAACCCTAAACCCTAAACCCTAGACCCTACCAACTATGTAGTTCTCTACATTAGGGTCCCTTTTTAGACTTTTAGGGTCCCGGGTGGGGGGGATCTTGAGGCTTCGGGTAGCCGCGGCCCTGAATTGACGGCTGCGGTACCCCAGAATCGTTTCGGGCTTATGGGGTTTAGGGTCTTGGGGGGGTTAGGGTTTAGGGTTTAGGGTTGCGGGGGTTCGGGTTTAGGGTTGTGGGGGTTAGGGTTTAGGGTTTTAGGGTTTAGGTGTTTAGGTCTTTAGGGTTCAGGGCTTTAGGGTCAAGGGTTTGAGGGTATAGGGTTAAGGGGTTTGAGGGTTTAGGGGATTTGGGGGGTAGGGCTGTCCTATACAGACTGGTAGTTACTGCGAGGCACCCTCAACTGAGCCAAGGCGCAAGTAAATAAACCCAAAACCCTGAAAGCACCCAAACGCTATAAATCCTGAAGCCTAGTCCTGAAGTTGTCCTTAACTAAGGTTACAGGTTACCTGCGGATTGACGCTGCTCCGGGACGTCCTTCAGAAGCAGAGCTCTGTGATAGTTACAGACAATACCAACCTATCCCCACGAATGGCCCAGGCATGGGTGACACCCTAAAGCCTAAACTCGCGGATGCCACCGGAGTGGCGGTCCGGATGATTAAGCCCGAACCCTCGAAACAGGGAGGAGAGACAACCTCAACAGTAAGAAATGCAAAACGAATGAATCCGTCGAACTCCTGGCCTCTACGTGCTCGAAATGCTTGTGCATTTTCCGCGGGGCGGGGCGCTAAAAATCCAGGTCTTTACGGAGTCTCAAGTAAACCCTGCTCGCCTAGAGCAATAACGACCGGTAGAGAACTCTTCGGGTGCCCAGCCAGCAGTTTGTTTAAGTCTTTGGTTTAGGGATTAGGGTTTAGGGTTTAGGGTTTAGGGTGGCCCAAGCACGCATCGCAGGTCGTAACATTTGGACCCACAGGTTGTTAATGCAGCCCACGTACGAAAGCTCCTAGGAGGTTACAGAACATCCCACCAAAGCCATGTCACAATCAAACTAGCGAGCGCGTTTACAACCTTTTGATAACAAAGCCTTTTGAGATGAGATTGGTTTCGGGGTATCCTCCGGTGCAAGTCCCGCTTCTCCCCTTCAAGCCGCAGCACCTTCGGCACTAGAACCTGCAACCAAACGTCTAAACTGCAAAGCACGCAAGCCCAGAACCACCACATCCCCAAATCTTTAAAATCTTTAAACCCTGAAACTTAACACCCTTCAAATCCCAAACCCGCAGCCCAAACGGTAGACGAAGCCCCAATTGAACACCCCGCCCCCTGCACGCCAAAACCTGGACGCATAACCAGCCCACAGTCCTCATCACTCGCCCCTCGACCCAAGAGCCTTTAAAGCTACTTCTTCAGACTTCTAGATCTTAGTGGCCATTTGTAGGGAACCCTTTGAAGTGAGCCCTTGTAGTATATTGAATCTTATAGTCGCCCTCTAAAGGAACCCTTTAGGAGCCCTCTCGCCTCGCCCCTTTACAAGAACCCTGAACCCTAAACCGGGTTTAGGGTTTAGGGTTTAGGGTTTAGGGTTTAGGGTTCCTAAACCCTAAGCCTAAACCCTAAATCTTAAACCTAAAACCTAAGCCCTAAACCGGAAAACCTAAAACCCTAAACCCTAAACTCTAAAGGTAACCCTAAGGACACCTGGCGCTCGAAGGGATCCTGTGTACAGCCTTGCTTTTTGCGCCCGAAATCCCAGCGAAAACTCTACTGACCCCGATCTACAGTTTAAGGTTTGGGGTTTAGGAACCTTAAAACCGAATATGATCCAGTTTTGAGGTTCAGGGCTCGGGGTTTAGGAACCCTACACCCGAATATGATCCAGTTTAAGGTTTAAGGTTTGGGGTTGAGGAACCCTAAACCCGAATATGATTACGGGGGTTAGATTCGAGCTCAGGGATCTTAAACCCCAAATTCCAAGGCCGAAACCTCACACCTTCAAGCCTGCCAAGTAACAAAGCAAAGCCCTAAGCCCGAACCCTACAGCCGAAACCCGCACCTTGCCCGCCAAAATCTTCTGATAGATGCCCATTGGGTCCTGCGCTGGTCTTGGGTTTATTCTATACTGAACTTAGACCCCTAGCAAAAACTATAATTTTAGCTTCTTCTTAGGGTTTATAGTAGCCAAAAATTAAAAATTATTTCTAAGTACCCCTAAGTATTGTCTTGAGGGAACCCTAAACCTTAAACCCAGGTCTCATGTTGAGGGTGCAGAGTCATTTGACAAACCGGGCGCGCCCTTGTTGTTTGGAGGCTATTTAGGGTTTAGGGTTTAGCCGCTGCAAGCCATACTGTAGTCTCAGGTCACCGAAACCGTTCACGCTTCAATAAAGACGTAGATATTACAGAGCCCTGTGTATCTCCGATAAAGCCCGACGCAACCCCTGTATAGCGGGCTCGCGCGCCTATAGGGACTGTATAGGGTTAACGGGAGCTTTGCGGGGTGTAGGGTTAAAGGTTGCCTGCGGCTCCAGCTATGCCTGAAGACGCGATCCAGGTACAGCTTGCAGTCAGGCTCTAGGCAGATGCTATTTCAAGGATATGGGATCGAGCAAGTGGTTCACGACTGGATGGATGCATGGATGCGTGGATGTGTGGACACATGGATGGATAGATGGATAGACGGATAGGACATCTTTACAACCGTAGAGCCATCTCAAGCATGTGGGCTTGTTGTCCAGAGCGGCATTTCTCGTGGACGGGTGGATGGATGAATGGACGGATGGACGGATGGACGGACTGATGGGTGGACCTACTTGCTTGTGTGTATAATGTCTGTCTGACTGTAGCTAAAAATGCATGAGAAGACGGGTAAGCTGTCTGTATCCACTCACCACAGTTAAACTACAAAAAGGAGACTTAATGATTGAAGTGGGGTTCCTTCAAGGGCTTCTTGACGGGCTCGAGTACAAGATGAAGGGACCCTAGATTTCATGCACCGCTTAAATACTTGGACCATGAAGAAGAACAACAACAACAACAGCAGACCAGATAAGATTAGCAATGTCAACACTGAATTATAGTCATAACAATGGCAGTACAAAATAATCACAGACATCATGGTAGTAAAAACAGTATAACTTAGAAATAATGACAGCAATCATAGCAGCAATGACCCTCGGATGTTTACCCTTGGAGTACGCCTTGTTAAGAAACCCTAAACCCTAAACCCCTAAACCCCTAAACCCTAAACCCCAAACCCCAAACCCTAAACCCCTAAACCCCTAAACCCCTAAACCCTATTTCCCGGAGCATCCTCGTCACAGAAGGGTGGCTGACCGCAGATCATCTCGTAGATCAGGATTCCTGGGTGTCGAGAGGACTGTAGGGTGTTGGGGTTTAGGGTTTAGGGAATTAGCTTGTGAGGCTTTATCAGGGTGTGCTGAGAGTCTTATACGGGTTTTGCAGGGTTTTGTAAGAGTTTGAAAGGGCTAAACCCTACACCCCTAAACCCTAAACCCTAAACCCTAAACCCTAAACCCTAAAACCTGAACAGGGCTTGGGCCCGATTGTAGGGCTCGGTTCGGGCTGGGGGCTAACGGTGTGGTTCAGGAGCTTTGAAGCCTTTGGGGCCAAGAAATTCCTACATCTCTAAATTAAAGACTAGATGGGTAGTTCTCTAAATTAGGGTCCCCTTTGAGAGCTCCTTCAAGGGCTCTAATGAGGGTTTCGATAAGGGTACTACTAGGGTTCTAGAGGGGTAGTTCTCTAAATAAGGGTCCCTTTTCGGGTCCTGTTTTTTTTATATGAAGGTGCCGGTTACTATATAGGTGACCTAAGAAGGGACCCTAATTTAGA